AATCACTGGTTTTCGGCATTTTATTAGTAGATCGTTTTATCACATGACCGCATAATTTTGCAAAGAGCGATAATAAACATAGAAATAAATATTATAAATATAGTAAATAAATAAAAAAATAAATAATACTTACTTGTAATATTTACAGTATTACCTTTCATTAATTTCAAAAATATTATGTTGATAAATTTCAGAAATTCTTTTTTTTGAAGAAGATGTAATAGTTATATTTTGAATATTTTCATTATTAAAGATATAGATATGGTCTTCAGTATAGTCTTTAACATAATCTTCAATATAGTCTTCAGTATGGTCTTCAGAATAATCTTTAATATTATATTTAGAAGTTGATATTTTACTCTTATTTTTTTTCAAGAAATTATTATTCTGATAATTTTTCTTCTAATAATTTTTCTGATAATTATTATTTTTATAAGAATTGTAAACATATTAATTATAATTATTTAAATAAAAAAAAATTAGAATATACAAAATATTTGTACTTACCTAATATCCTTGTTTCTTTTACAATTGCCATTCTTGTCTTGTTACTATTTCTCTCACAATTATTGTTCTTGTCTTGTTGTTGTTTCTCTTGTTGTTTGTCTTGTTTCTATGCTCTTTTTGTTATTATTACTTATTGTTTCTCTTGTCTTTTTTTGTCTTGTTGCTGTTGCTCTTCTTATTGTTATCTCATCACTTCTAAAATATATAAAAAAAATATTATTATTAAATCATTTTAATTATACGATTTAAATAATAATAATATTTTTTTAATAATATTTTAAAAAAATTTGATTCATCACTTATTTGTGACAATAGAATATGTGATAATTTATTAAATGATTGGATTATAATAATTATTATTTCGAAAATAAATCGTATTAATAATATTATTATTAATCGTATAATTAATATGATTTATTTTTTAAAAACAAATCATCTAAAAAAAATTATTTCTAAAAAATGAATTATATTAATTATATGATTTAATAATAATAATATTATTATTATTAATTGTATAATTAATATATTATTATTACTATTATTATTAATTTATTATTAAATTATATAATTAATATAATTTATTTTTTAGATACAATTTTTTTTCTTTTTTTAGGTGATTTAATAATATATTTTTGTTACACTGTTGACCGTGATCTGACCTTCAAAAGATACGATTAACTATTAGCTAAAGATACTGTAGCTAAACTAAAATATAATAAACTACTAACTAATTTATATTAAAAAGTATGATGATTGAAGGATTTAGATGTTGTGCATTTGTTCGAAAGAGGCAAGGCTATGAGATTTTTATAAAGGTGTGACTAAAATATTCACAAAGAATATAACTAAACTAAATTAAACTAATAATTCCTAACACTAAGTAGAGAATTATAACACTAAAACAATATACCAAGATCACAAAGCAAGGTATAATTAACAAGGATTTCAGTATTCCGCTGTTACAGAATGAAAATATAACGATAAAATAATATTAAAAACACCTGCAATAATAATAACCCTTAAAATGATATTTA